TTAGAATATTGATAGAATTTTATCCAGTATAAAATTTGTTTTTAAAGAGTAAAAAGGTCGATTAAAATTGTGTGAAATTAATTTTGAATGAAAATTCAATACAAAATATTGATCGATTTTTTTATCCTCTAAACATATATTTTACCTTAGACAAAATTATCATTTAGTTATTTTGATATCAACTAAAATTTTGCTTATTAAATCTTTTTTTATTTTAACTATGTAGAAAACACTAATATTTACTCTTTTTAACCTAACTTATTGGCAGTATTTAACTTAGCACGAAATTTAAAAAAGCCGATTTTTTTTTTTAAATTTATGGTCTAAACAAGCCACAAATGTTTATGCAGCCATAAATCATCTTTTTAAGTGTAAATTAAAAAGTCTAACATTAAATTATTTCTAAATAAGGAAGTATGAATTTTATTTTTGGGACATATTAGAAAAGGAAGTATGACACATAAATTCATGAGACAGAGAGAGCAGGATTTTAAAATCTAAGATTTTAGCTTATAAATCATTCATTTAATGAATTAGGTAACATAACTATAATTCTTTCCAAAAGTGTAGTAAGCCAAATTAAACAATTTTTTTTTATCAAAAAATCATTAGAAAATATGGGTTCAACATTCTCTTCATTGTCTTAGAAAAAAATTTAAAAGTACAATAATTTTTTATAGCAATTAAGCAACTAAGATAATCAATAAATTTGAGTTTCTCATTTCATGACAAAGCAAATACTTATGCTAGATAGACACACGAGATTTTTATCCATTTAACCGAAGGATCAACATTATTCACTTTCAGAAACTTATACTTTTTTCTTTCATTTTTTATTTTATAACTCAAGTATATATTTTATAATAGTTATATAATTTTTTACATACATGAATATAGGTACACGCGCAACGCGCATACCCTAAAATTAGTTATATTAAATAACATTGAGCTAATCATATGCTTCAAATAATGATGACAAGTACATGACCAACTTGTGGGGAAACCACATAATTAAAATTAGGCATAAGAAAGCTACTATTTGTACCTTATGTTTGGTACTCGAGAAAAGCCATAATTGATAATTAATGATTAGTGTCTAACGAGATTATTTTTCTGTTATTTTTTTCAAATTTATTGTGTTTTTTCTTTTTTTATTTATTTTTCATTAGAGATTGTTTAACTTCGTAAGAAGACGGGTATTCACTTAATTCCTAAATATTCTCAACAAGTTTTGCATGTTGATTTTCAAAATCAAGGCATATAGATTTCAAAAAAAATTCTATGAATAAATGAGAAACCACAGCGATTCATATATATATAAACTTTATAGAGAATTCATGAAATTATATTATCGTGAGCATGTTCTTTGAGACGTTTTAGAAATAAATCAAAGTGTAAGAAAATTGATTTACTAATTTATATTGTATGACCAAAAATACTCTAATATTTTATAGATCATCCAATTACATTCAAGAGAAAATTAATATAAAGGACAGTCCGATGCACAATGTATTCCGCGTCTATACAGGGTTCGGGGAAGGACCGCACCCCAAGGGATGTGATATAAATCGCATACTCTAATGCAAACATTAGTGGCTACTTTCGTGGGAAAAAAATTTAGAAATTGCCTGATTTACAATTGGTAATTGAAAAATAACCATACTTTTAAAAGTAAATGAAATGTAGTCACATTTTCATATAAAGATAAAATTTGAACAAAAACACTCTAAAAAAGATCGGGAAAAATTCCAGCATAATATGCTGGATTTTGATTTTTTTACATATGAGATTCCAGTATAATATACTGAAATTTTATAATGCGCTGGAGTTCCAACATAATATGTTGGAAGTTTATACGTTAAAATAGCACGGTCTAGCAAGTTTTCGGACGGGTCATTCAAAAATAACCAGCGTTTACCAAGTCATTGAAAAATAGCCACTATTTTGCTGCAATAGAGATCGGTCCAGCATAATATACTGTAGTTCAGTGCACCTGTGCATGAACTTCCAACATATTATACTGGACCGATATACTTTGCTGGCTCCAGTGTACTTTGCTAGAACTTCAGTATATTATACTCGAGTTCCAGCAAAGTATACTGGAATTCCAAACTCCAGTATAATATGTTGGAGTATAATATATTGGAATATCTTCCGAATTTTGATAAGTGTTTCCGTTCAAATTTATCTTTACATGAAAAGTGGCTAAATTTCGATGACTTTTGAAACTGTGGCTATTTTTGAATGACCATTTGTAAATATGGCTATTTTTGAATTTCTCCCAGTTTATACACAGGAGCTCCATAATCCAACATATTATGCTGAAACTTTCCATGTGCAGGAGATATGCTGGATGTTTATACGCATGAGCTCCATAATCAAGCATATCATGTTGGAACTTTCCATGTTTCAGCAAAATAGTGGTTATTTTTTACTGACTTTATAAACACTGTTATTTTTCAATTACCAGTTCGAAAACTTTCTAGCCCGTAATTTACTACTTTCACAACTCGAACTGTGACCTATAGGTCATACAAAAATAATTGGGCCTCCTTTGAGCCCAGATTACATTAGAAGAATTAACCCAAATCGCCGCTCACCCAACCACTTAAACTAGAAATAGTCGATGATGGTATAATTTATGCATAATTTATGTATTATATATGTATAATCAATGTATAATTTATGTATATGATTAGAAAAAGTAAGCAATGAATATCGCCGGCTATTTATGTGAAGATCCCATTACATTATCTGCTTTTGAATCTGGGCCTGGGAGTCACTTCTAAGCCCAATAAAATTGCTAATGGACTATCCACACTTGAAAAGGACCTCACAGAATCTGCTTTAAGTGAAAGGTATGGGCTTGACTGTCCAACTTGCATAGCAACATGCTATACTTGACCATGGAAAGCAACTCCATTGAAGAAGACATAATTCTAGATATTTCACACTATGACAATTGCAGTGGTGAACAACAACAACAACGACAACAACCCAGTATAGTCCCACTAGTGGGGTCTGGAGAGGGTAGTGTGTACGCAGACCTTACCCCTACCCTGGGGTAGAGAGGCTGTTTCCAATAGACCCCTGACATCCTTCCCTCCAAGAACTCCCTACCTTGCTCTTGGAGTGACTCAAACTCACAACCTCTTGATTGGGGTGAACCTTTTTCTAATATATTTTTTACATCTATTAATGTGATTTTAACTTGGTGAAAAAATTATTTTATTACAAGTTTGAAATATGAAACAATTTTAAAATATATAATTTTTTGGTGCTGGTGCTGGTGGGGGGTGCTGGTGGGAGGAGGGGTGTGGGGGGGGTGTTCCTCTTATCAATTTTTCAAGATTCAAAACTTGATGGAAATTCTATCTTAATAATTTGATCTTTCTATTGTTTATTGATAAGTTTCTTATTTAATTTGTTGAGAAGTTGTTGAATCTAAGAAAAAAAAAAAGGATAAACAATTTGAATATTGTCACATTTAAGAAGGATCCTAATTAAATTACATGTCAATATGTGGAACACTTAACTAGTCATACTATAAGGGTCGTTTGATACACGGGATAAGATGTAATAAGGTGGGATTAAGTGTGAAATTAAATTTATAACGTGTTTGATTGACAGTATAAATTTATCTCAACAATCAAATATAGTATAAATTTAATTCCAAACTTAATCCTGGATATCCTACTTTACCCCGTTAAACTTGGGATTATTTTAACCCACCTGCCAAGTAGGATAACTTAGTCCAGAGATTATAATTTCAAGACTATAATCCCAAAATAATTTAATCCGCGTACAATGAAACCTTTAATGTTTAAAATGAAAAGATAGACAATATCAAATTTGGTCCCAACAAATTCATTTCATGGCAGTGCCAATAAAGAAATCAATTTCTAAAGATCTAGGTAGGGTAGGGTCTCATCCCCAATTTGAAGAAACTTTAGATTGGCTTACATGGAGAGGAACAATATTGGACTATACTTAGTGGGCATTTGGACATAAGAATTATAATATTTCAAAAAAATAAATTTTTAAAGTGAAAATGATATTTAAAAATTAGAGTTGTGGTTGGACATGAATATAATTTTAGGTTATTTTTGAAGTTTTGTGAGTGATCTGAATGAAAATTTTGAAAAACAACTTTTTGGAATTTTTTGTTTTTTGAAAAATTCCAAAATTCTTCTTCAAGTGAAAATTGAAAATTTTATGACCAAACACTAATTTCTAACAAAATTGAAAATTACTCGAAAAAAGTGAAAAATTTGTTATGTCCAAACGTGACTCTTTAAAAATTACAACATGAAACAGAGAAAAATTTGGAACAAGCGCTTTCTCCTTTAGTAGGCTTAGTGGGCGTTTGGACACAAGAATTAAAATTATGAAGAAAAAAAAATTCAAGTGAAGATGGTATTTGAAAATTAGAGTTGTGTTTGGACATGAATATAATTTTGGGTTGTTTTTGAATTTTTGTAGTGATCTGAGTGAAATTTTTGTAAAATAGCTTTTTGGAGTTTAAAAATTTTCTAAAAATTCTAAAATTCATCTTCAAATGAAAATTAAAAAATTTATGGCCAAACACTAATTTCAAAAAAGAAAAAGAATCGAAAAAAGTAAAAAAAAAAATCAAAAAAAGTAAAAAAAAAAAATGCATGCCAAACGGGCTCTTAGAAAGACGCAAATCCAAATTAATCAGTTCCTATATAGAAGTTGTAAATGATTCTCTTATAAATGTGCTTAAATTAATTTCTCTAAAATTTGTGGTTCTAACAATGTGGCCACTTTCGGAAATAGCCATTTTACCCCTCGAAGTAGTGATAAGGTCTGCGTAAATGATACCCTTTTTAAACTCCACTAGTCAAATTTCAGTGGCTCTTGTTTTAACAATGTGGCCACTTAAAAGCAATTTAGCATTGATTGATTGAAACAAGAAAAAGGAAGAAGACTTGGGTTCCTTCTAAAAAAGCATTTCCATTTTCTTTTTCTTTCTCTATATGTCAAGTCTTAAACAGCTTTTGATCTTAAACCAAGAATTCACGAGACTCCCTTGAAATCATTGCTTTGACATTCATCTTTTTTTTTTCCCCAAACCAAACTAACTTCTTTTTTCTTCTCAACATGGCTATTCCAAAAGTTTCATGCAACTTTCACAGGCTACTTCTGCAAAAAAGACTCCATTTTTATGGCTATTCTTCTTTCAATTTTTGTCACCATGAAATCTTTTCTACCTTATCTTCATCGTTTTTTCCTTTTTCACAGCTCTTTCTTGTAATTTTTACTCTTCAATGGTCTTGAAATTTCTCTTTCCTTAATCATGCAAAGCTTCTTTTCTTGTTTTTTTAACGTCAACCTTCCTCTTGTTTTTTCTTTTCTTGTCTTTATTTACGTGAAGGCAAAAAAGTTATCGCACTAGCCAAAGACTTCCTGTCTATTTAATAAAGAAAGACTGATTCTTGAAAAATGGTCTTGAAATTTTTCTTTCTTGTTTTTTAACGTCGACTTTCCTAAAATGCTTTGTCTTTATTTAGGTTAAGGCAAAAAAAAAAGTCCGCGCTCTAGCCAGAGACGTTCTGTCTATTAAATAATAAAAGACTGATTCTTGATCTTCGAGTACTTTGAAAAAGTTTTTTGGTATATGGCTTAATGGTTTGTTTTAATGATAGATTAATGAATTTAAGTTTACCCTTTAGAACCCATGTTTCTAAATCAGTTCATGCATTTCTTGAAATCAAATCACACATTCAGAAGAAAAACACCTCCTGATCGAAAGTGTGTTTTTGATACTTTTTGTCTTCGATTCTTAAGAGTGCCAGTATTAGGATTGTTTTAGTACTATCTTCTGCTTTTGGTTTTCTATTACCCTGTCGTGTTACTGCTTGTTGCTATTGCTACTGCTTTCTTCCATTTGTTTTTCTTCGGTTCTTACATTGCTGATATCATTTTCCTAGCCTTAGCCGAGGGTCTTTCGGAAGTAGCCTATCTGCCCTCCGGGGTAGGGTAAAGTCTGCATCACGTTGCCGTCCCCAAACCCCACTTGTGGGATCCACTGGGTTGTTATTTAAAGGGGTTTTGTCAATTTTTTTTTCCCAATGGCTACTTGTTTTAATCCCTTTAGGCTTAGGAGATCAAAGAGTAAACCATTAGAAATGCCATCATCATCATCAAGAAATCAATGGAATTCATCTGATATAGAAACAATGGACAAGAAAAGATTTGATAGTTTAGAATCATGGTCAATGATATTAGAATCTGATAATGTTGAAACTTGGGAAGTTTCTAAAGAAGATCAAGAAGAATGGACAGCTGATTTGTCTCAGTTATTTATAGGTAATAAGTTTGCTTCAGGAGCACATAGCAGGATTTATAGAGGAATTTATAAGCAGAGAGCAGTTGCTGTTAAAATGGTTAGGATTCCAACTCATAAGGAGGAAACTAGAGCTAAACTTGAACAGCAGTTTAAGTCTGAAGTTCGTTTGCTCTCTCGTTTATATCATCCCAATATAGTTCAGGTTGCAGTTCCTTTACATTTCAAAATGATGATTTTTTATGCTCTTTTTATGTTATTTATCGTGTTTATTTGTCGAGTAGTTTTGGTGCATTACTTAGTGTTAGTCTTGTACTTTCTTATTCTTGAATCTCTGTTATTACTTGTTGTTTCTTTCGCTTCGGTTTTCTGATTGGTTTGCTTGTTGTTGTTCCTTCCTTTTTATCTTTCCTGAGCCTAGGGTTTACCGAAAACAACCTTGATCTCCGCCTTCTTAAAGGTAGAGGTAAGATCTGCGTACACACTATCCTCCCCACACCCCACTAGTGGGATTACACTGGGTTTGTTGTTGTTGTTGTTGTATCGTGTTTATTTGGTACGTGTTATCTCTCACTAGCACATGTACCGCGGCATTCTGCCCACTAAGACTTAGGCAGATGGAAGGAAATCTGGTTTTTGTCTCATGTTTACTTGTATTCTTGTAATTGGAATAGTAGAAATTTTCTATGATTAGTGAAAATTATGCTCCTGTGGAGGCTAAGTGTTCATTTTACTACTGTATTTAAGAAGATTCAACTAACCAAATATACTACACAGGTGACTAGAGAATTGTGACATTACCTGTTAGTAACACATGGTTTTTCCTTAAGCACAGAAACATTGATGTCTAGTATTTGTCTTTTTTCTAAGCAACATACTTTTTCATGTGTAGTTTCTCCCTTGTTCTAAATACTTGATTTTCTCATACCTCTAGCTTTAACTTCAGCTTGATTATTAGGAGGAAATGCTTGAAAACACAGAAACATAATAAATCTTAGGCCTTAGCTTGTTCTGCTCCGGTGAAAATCCCCCCGTTCTAGTGTTATCAAAGGTGCGCCTAAATTCTGAAGCGAGGCTCAAAACGTGTTGAGCGCTTAGTCTTGCTTAATGGGCGCTTCAATGCTGTCATCAAGTTCTAAGGCATACTTTTCCTTATCAGTGAGCGTAATCCTGAAGAGACTACACTAGACAATTGATATTTCACTTTATCGTAAATTTTCTTCAATTTCTTTGTCCATATATTTGGTATTCATGCTTATAGATATTAGTCTTGGACTACAGATACATATTTGTAGTTTTCCTCCATTTGCGTCTTTCTTCATTAAAGCTCACGCTTCTACCCTCTTTTATGTTCAGTAGAAACAAATTTATGTTCATTGAATGGTTTTGTTGTGTGGGATCTTCCAAGTTATTAGCTTTTTTTTTTTCGTTTCTAATTTTTATATCTATAAATGAGACTGTCCCTTGTGCCGAGGGTCTATCAAAAACAACCTCTCTAACTTCTTAAGGTAGGAGTAAGGTCCGCGTACACACTATCCTCCTCAGACCCACTCGTGTGATTAAACTAAGTTTGTTGTTGATGTTGTTGTTGTTGTAAATGAGACTGTCATTTTGGATTCCTTAAATATGTGCAGCTTCAAATTGATGCATAATTTACTGTCAAATTCTTGTCCAATGATACAGTTTTGCTTACAAAATATCCTCTTTTATGTACAGTTCATTGCTGCTTGTAAAAAGCCTCCTGTATACTGCATTATTATGGAGTACATGTCACAAGGAACATTGAGAATGTATCTAAACAAGAAAGAGCCTTATTCACTTTCAATAGAAACAATTCTGAGGCTAGCTCTTGATATATCGCGAGGGATGGCGTATCTGCATTCACAAGGAGTGATTCATAGAGACCTGAAATCAAGTAATTTACTTCTGAATGACGAAATGCATGTCAAGGTTGCAGATTTTGGGACATCATGTCTTGAAACACAGTGTCGAGAAGCTAAAGGAAATATGGGAACGTATCGTTGGATGGCGCCAGAGATGATTAAAGAAAAACCTTATACGCGCAAAGTTGATGTGTATAGCTTTGGAATTGTGCTTTGGGAGCTTACAACAGCTCTGTTGCCGTTTCAAGGAATGACGCCCGTGCAAGCCGCTTTTGCTGTTGCTGAGAAGGTTAGGTTCTAATGCTGATTTTCTGATAACAGAATCTGTAATTGTCGTGGAAACAACTTCTTGTAGAAATGCAGGGTAAGACTACGTACAATAGACCCTTGTGGTCCGGCTCTTACCTGAATCCCACGCATAGCAGTAGCTTAGTGCATCGGGCTGCTTTCTTTTTGAATCTGTGATTGTCTTTGCTTTTAGACTTCTGCACATATTCTTGTTTTCTCATTTCCCATTCAATTGGAAATTTGAGGAACTTATTGACAAGAACAATTCTTGGGATGCATTTTGAAGAGAATTCATCTTCAAAATGATATGGAAAAAAGATCTGCTCTCAACCAAAAGGAGAAGGTCATAGTACTGATATCGTCGTGTACCTTTACCTAATACGTCAAACCTCTCTATAACAACCTCGTTTGTTCCGATATTTTTTGGCTGCTATAGTGAAGTGTTGTTATAGAGGACATATATTATAACATAATATAAAAAACAGATCCGAGAAAAATTTGACTGTTATAGTAAATGGTTGTTATATAGGGATGCTATTATAGAGATGTCAGACTATTATCTTATTCTCATCACAAGTGAAATCAATTAAAGAATTGCGCTTAGGCACCCTCGCTAATGAAATGGCTCCGTTACAATGGATGACAGATGGTCCATAGTACCCGAAGCACTGGAGCAATCTAGTAGCCGGGAATGAGCCTAGAAGTGGCTACTATTACAACACATTACACTTGGCTCTACACATTTATACCAACTCCCAAAACAATAGCCAGTGCGCAAATGTATATCTTTTGTATATTAAGTACAATATACATATTACTTTATACATAATCAGTGTATATGTTTTGTATATTTGGCTAACGACTGTAATTATTTTTGATCGCCTGGAGCCCTGGACAAATGTGTTAATAGCCCGAGACTTATTGAACCGTTTTTCATTTCTGTTCTGATGCAATGTTCTTGATAGTTCCATAAAACTTGAATGAAAATTCATCTGTTTTATATCTTTCTTTCACTATATTGCAGAACGAACGACCACCTTTGCCCGCGAGTTGTCAACCAGCACTCGCGCACCTCATAAAACGCTGCTGGGCTGCAAACCCCTCAAAGAGGCCAGACTTCACAGACATTGTATCTGCATTAGAGAAATACGACGAATGTGTCAAAGAAGGGCTTCCATTGACACTCCATTCAAGACTTGTCAGTCGAAACGCCATTATCGAACGATTGAAAGACTGTGTATCAATGAATTCATCTATACCTGTACATATCTGACCTGACTCTTTTATAACCAACAATAAATATTGTCATTGTATTATTGATCAGCCTTTTGGTTTCTCCAATAGGTTAGTAAACTACAACTTGTATATATAGTATACTTATCACATCTGATGTAATTCATGTTATATGATATCTAACAGTGCTATTGTGAATGGACTGCTGGTGGCATTTTAGCAGTATTTTCTACTGCTAAAATATCATAAATTATTTTATTGTGTTATGTATATTTAAGATTGGAAAGAGAGTCTTTGGCGCCAGAGGTAAAGTTGCTGCCATGTGACAAGGACGTCACGGGTTCGAGTCGTGAAAACAACCTCTTTCAGAAATACAGGGTAAGTGTAAGGCTGCGTACAATAGACTCTTGTGGTCCGACGCTTTCCAGACCCCGTGCATAGCAGGAGCTTGGTGCACCGGGCTGCCCTTTTTATGTATATTTAAGATTGGCTTATTTTATTTGTGTGTGCCAATAACATCAAATTTATAGTACATTATTTTATTTAAACTGAGTTTACCGAAAACAGCCACTTAGCCCTTCCAGTTCCAGGGTAGGGGTAAGACTGCATATATCCTATTCTTCTCGGATCCCACGTATGGGAATACACTGTTAGTCTTTCAAATGATAATGATAATTAGTTGAAAACGAGATCTATTAGTTTTCTCTCATACGCCTTTTTGTATGAAACTTAAATTTGCATAGACTCCATCTTCATTATATCATGATTTTATACAGATGAAGTTTGAATGAACAAATTATTCACTCATTTTTCTGAAATAATAAATTTTATTATTAACCAGGTAGGTCGCTGGTAGAACAGGCGACCTGTTGTTAAACTATTAACGTCCTAAACCATAATGAAGTATTTTGATTAAGTGACAAATAACCTAATCACAAGTGATTTGTTTTTACACAAATTAAAGAATGTCTCATTACCATATATGTCTTTTGTAAGGCATTTAACACGTTGTTTTTGAAGTTTTCTTTTGCGCGTCTATTGAAATAGTTTGACTGAGCGCGTAGTTTAAGAAAAAAGAAGAAGACTTTTGAAACTTGTAGTCTTAAAAGTTTAAGGGATAAAAGCTTTGTGGAGTCATGATATTTGTGTAGTTATGAAAGCTTCTCATTAAGGGTAAAATGAAAAGTTTAAAGTTGAATTATTTTCAAATTTAGAAATATGACATTTATTTTGGAACATATTATAAAGGGAAATACTTCATCTAATTTGAAAAGGATGAAGTGATAAAAATGCAACTAAAAGCAAAATAAAAAATAAATAAATAAAATAAGATAATAGATTTTAAATTAATAATTTGTACGCATTCAATAAATTTATTAAGATAAATATAGCATGTGTTTATCACATATGGCACGTGTAAGCATGAGATTTTTGCTTCACGGACAATCGCTCCAAAAGAAAGTAAAAATAGTGACAAATGACTTCGATGTACAATGTTTCGAGTTTTCCGTGACATGTGTTGTTAGTCATTTGTGGGTCTGTCCGTTTTGCATTTAATCTTACCGATCAAAATACAAAGCATGTATGTCAGGGTAATTAAAATCATAATTCGGTCATTAAAAAGAACGAAAATTCAAAAAAATATATATGCATCGTTCGTTCTAGGTTGTGATTTAACTTACTTAAATATTTTAATTTGGTGTGATAATTGTGTTGAAGTGTCACATGGTTGTTTGTTTTAATTTCATTTGTTTTATTATTATTTTTGTTATTTCATTTTTGTTTTAAAATAAGAGAACAAAGAAAAGAGTGATTTGGGCCCAGGA